ACACACACACACACACACACACACACACACACACACACACTTCATTGCTCCAGTTTTCCCCTGTAGTGTCAAATGTAAAATCTTAGGTATGTACTTGGGTAGGGAAATATTACCCTGTGTAATATTGATTTGATGTAACAAGAGTCACTGGCCTTCTTTGCTAGGCAGCTTTCTATGAACAAGCCACTTGACTGTGGACACTGCTCCCTCTGGTTCTATGAGAATGAAGCTGTTCCCCACAGCAGACATCACTACCCATGCTTTCTAAAAGCAGATGGTGCTGAGACTGGAGCTGACACTCTCAGTGCAGCTAGAGCTAGCTAATGTTCTCTAGGGTCTGTCAGCTCTCATCCAAAACCTTTGGCAGGTTTATTCCAAGGAGTAGCTTCAATGCCCCTGCACCAAGCTGAGCTATCTTACACTACTGGTGTAGTTTTCAGGGTACAGCTTGGCCTGAGTTTATTAATGCTCTACAGGGGAAGAGTGAAGTTCCTTCACTCTCAATGCTATAAAACAATCCAACTCAGGACTATGAATAATTTCTCCTTTCTAGATATTGTTATTTAGATTTAAAGTTAAATAGTCTAAGCATGCTCTAGGCTGGCATCTAATATACCGGTATGAATGAGACACAGTTCCCAGAACTGCTTTGGCAGCCCACGAATCAAAGTGCCTACTTTGCACCGTAATTTGTCAGTGGAGTCACTGGATTTTTTATTTCAGTTCCCCTTTCAATGTCTCTGTCACTCATTTCACTCTTCACTCCACAGTGTACCAGTAGCTTTCAGATTTGAACTGATAGTGGTGGTATGTAAAGAGGACTTATCTGAGGCAAACATATTTACCTCCAGAGCACGCAGGCTTCCACAAGTAGTCTATGTGTTTGAGAAAGTGAATGTTGTAAAGCTGCTTCTGGCTGGTCATCTAAAGAGCCATCAGCATGCTCCCAGCATCCTGAATACCTATACTTAATAAGATGGATAGAGATGAGCAGCAGGTTTGGAGAATGGTTCAATGACAACCGCATAAAGTAGTGTCTGGAGAGATGGCTCAGCAAGTCAAGAACACTTGCTGCTCTTGCAGAGGACCCAAGTTTGATTCCAAGAATCCATGTGGAATGGCTCACAATTGCCTGTAACTTGAGCTCCAGAGGGCCCAGTGCCCTTTTCTAGCCCCCAAGAGCACCTGCACTCACATGCACACACCCACACATATACACATAAAAATGCAAAATAAAACTTTAAAAAATAAAGTGTGGAAAAACAAACTGATTGCAAAAACAAAGTCTATAAATACAGCTACTATGGAAGCACTTAAACTATGGGTTGAAACTAACGAATATCTTTCTTTTTAAAAATTATGTATCTAAAAAGAGCATGCTGAGTAGTAAAAACTGTACATATGCATAATTTTGTGAGTACATATATCAAAACATAGATATGCTTACAGTGGTCATTTTAGTTGTAGGGAAAGAAGTGGTTTGTATTTATTTACATTGTTCCATAGTCTTAAAGTGTTTTACAATATGCAGATATTTGTTCTAATAAGAAAAAGAAAGCCTTTTGTATGGCAGCTGATCAGTTTGCCACCCTTCCCTATGAGTCAGTCACTCAAACAAAGTATCTGCTATGAAATGGGATTATGTGTGCATCTGCCTGTGCTATGGGACTGCAAGTTTGTTCAGCTACAGAAAAAGGCCACAAGGTACAGGGAGGGGAGCACTGTAGCATCTAGGCTTCAGACTTAGCCCAGACCCGGTAGGAATCCTACTTTCAGTCCTTACCTGCTATTATTTAAACCTCTCTCTTCTCTGCCTTCCATAGCAGAATAATGACACTACCATTAAGTCACCTTACCCACAGCCTGACAGAACAGCTATTGTAGCATAATTCATTATTATCTATCAGGTGATTTGAGCTTTCCAAGATATGTACTATCTGTGGCCTGAAGCCACAGAGCGATCAGTATCCTTCCAAATGGTCACCTCTCACCATCAGTTCAACTGTCACTTTATTCTTTGGGGTATTTCCCTGGTTTCCTAAGCAAAGATAATTGTGCCCTCCTACTCATACTAGCACACTGATGAATACCTGCACTTCACAGTCTAGAGGGTGAGCTGGCACTGTCTGTCTCAGACTCTTCTGTTCCCAGACCATGGGCCCAGAAACACAAAAGATAATCCTTGCTGAATAAATAAATGAGCCATGGTACAGATTACAATCTAATAGTGCCAAGGGAGCCATCTTTCTTTACATCTGCAGAGATTTTAGGCATTCATTTCTGGACTATTCTCTTATTGACACATAACAAAGATATATGAATGCCTGTCAGAGGACTAAGTTTGGAATGCTCGATATTAGAGTTAGAGAACACAGTAAATGACTGTAGCAGGTAATTTGAGCATATTGACACTATTAACATATTGTTTATAAGTGCATTAAGTAATGTACATGCCATTGTATAGCAGTTCTATGAGCTATATAAGGCTACCTACAAATCTTTGAAATCCAGCTTCCATGAGCTTTCTACTTTCTATGAAATTTCCTCAAATTCTTCAGAACTGTAATTGCAGATTGTATATCTACCTCTAGATTATTGTGTGTGAGAGAAACCTGTTTTACTGTGAAGAAAACAGAATGTTCTCAGATTAAGATTATGCCACTGCACAAATACTTTTTCAAATGTCTGTGAGCAGAGGTCTATTTCAGCCTCCGTGGAAGGAGGAACACCCTCTTTCGAGGACAATTGGTTTGTTCAGGTGTTCTCAGACACTTCTGTCTGAACTTGATTTGTGCCTTAATGGCTTAAACAACTGTAGATACACATACTCACACTAACCTCAGTTGCTCATTTACAACTTTCCCCACATGGAATAGTCATGAAAAAGAAAAGCTGCTTCATCTATGAGCAAGATTGTGTTTAGGAAAAAATGCAAAATACTATCAACCAAGGAAAACTTCTCAACCATAAATTATAAGCTTTGTAAACTTTCCACATTGACAACTACAAAGGACATACAGGGAAAAGCCCCAGCTTCTTTTCAGTGACTTTTATTTAAAGTTCTGAATTGTCATTCAAATCACAGTGGAGTTCTAGTGGAAAGAAGTAGACATTACACTCACACCATTGTTCTTGGGGTGGGGGGTAGTGTCTTAAGTAGATGTGACATGAATATGCTGGCTGGCAGTATTTACAGTACTGAAATGGGGGAGAGCAGGGCAGTGCCTCTCTAAGGAGATGTGCTTCTTTATGTCAGTCAGGTTTTCTGTCCTTACCATTTGTCTGCCCCCTGCAGCATGCTATGCCCTTCTGGAGGGTCTCCAGTCACTCGGACCTCATGGCCCTGCATCATGCCTTGGAATTAGAGTACCTGTAACAGCCTCCTGCCTATTTGACACTGCGCAACTGCCCTGTGGCCAGAGACAATCCAGCAGGCCTCAGTCTTGTGTCAGTTCTGGTCTGCAGAACGTACCAGCTTCAACATATGGATGCTGTGGTCTTGACTGCTACCCTCAAGGTTAATGGAGGAGGACCATGTGTATTTCTTCAGAACAGCTGTTGACTCTAGTACTGTGAATCCAATGAAAAGAAGCCATGAGAATGTTCTAGCACAGTGTGATGTGTCTTGGCTACATTAACTACATGGTTCAAACCTGTGAAGAAAAGACCTACAGACACTTTGGTTTTCAGCAAATGTGACATGAACAGCTTCTCCAACCCAGCAAACTTGATTCCACAGCAAAGACTGAAGTGTGTCTCCTAGACAACAGTGGAGGTATTTTTTCAAAGGTTTACTTTTTGGTGTCTCCTACCCAGGGCAATCTGTACATCGCTACTTATTTATGAAAAGACTTTCGAAAAACAGATTTGCTGAGGTATAATTCACTTACCATATAATTCAGCAATACAGACTTCTCAGTATCAAATAGTTGAAGGGACAATAGCATAAGAAATAATCAATTAAAGGAAGGCCTTTGCCTGACAGTGCAGCAAGTACTTTGAATTTTAGCACATTGCAAAGTAGTTTAAAGTATGTCTAATTTAAACATGTAAAATGTACATCACTGAGACAATCGTGTACAGAAAGAATTTTTGGTGTAAATTTGTAATAATGGATGATTCTTTTACATTCTGTGTAGGGAGATGCTATTATGAGGTAGAAATGCCTTCATAGGAAGCTTGGGCACTAACTCTCACAGTGCCTTAGCTAAGTATTGGGTATAAATATTGTAGATAATGGATCTTTTTGATAATGTTATCTAAGACCAAAAGCATGAATGTCAAGTGTCAACAAGGATTTTATTTTCCCAATCTTTTATCCCATCAATTTTTCTAATTTTTTTTGTGTGTGTTGGTTTTAGAAGGGCCTTGATAAAAATTACACAGCAGTTTGATAACTGAAAAAAGCTTAAAAGTCTTCCTGCCCACCTCACTCTCTCATTTCAATATTAATGTATTATATGTAACTACTTGGAAAAGAGTGATTATTCAAATGCTTCATCCCACAGAAAGAATATAGATGATAGAATATATTTTATTAATAAAATTAATTGGAGCCTAGCAGAGTTTCCATGTGCTCACAATTATGATTGTGTCTGGGTTTCTTGTTTGTATCAATGAAAATTAATACATTGCTCATCACTTCCCTATTTATGGCATTACAGACATAAATCTGAAGCTGGTTGGGGGTGATGACAAATAATCATGTTTGTCTTGTTATAAGATTCTTCCAAAATGATGAATTTGTATGGGCAGGAGTTTTTCTCGTCTTGGGCTTTGTGTTGCCATGAAATATTGTCTAACATTATATCGGGGGTACTGGGTTTGACCCAAAGTAGCAGACAAACCACTCTACCTTTTCCTTTACTACAATTCCATGTTGCTGCTAACATTAGTCCTTGTGAAATTCTCCAAATTGTGCAAGTGAATAATGGAATTCATTTCCTGTCTCACATGGTGTAGACAGAAGTGGACAGTTTTTAAGTCTCTTCATTTGATGTTTTTGTACTCTGCAGACTGAAAAGACAACTTTGATCTTGGCCTTTCTGTAAAAAAAAAAAAAATAGGTTTGTTGTGTCCACAGTTGTGTACAGATTTTTTCTTCATTAATTTTGTGTTTAAATTAATAAACTTGATTTGTGCGGTACTGTATGCTCCTTGAATGTCAGTATCATCTTTCTGGCTTTGGTTATGTGGAGGAACAGTGTCTTATTTGCATTAGAACCTTGCAGCCAATGGAAGTCATATGGATAACCCGGTGATGGCTTTATCAGTCCTTTAGGAGCTGAACTGGAAGGCAACAGCTGGTTCTTTGATCATCATAAGGACTGGAGAATGGAAAAGCTCTTTATTTCTCCAGACTATATCAACTCAAATTTATCTATGAGAGAACAGAATTAAGCATAAATTATCTTGGATTGCAGAACATAGATCTACCTACTTAAATACCTAAGGGAGAGCAATATGAGGCAGTTTCATCAAAAAAGAACACTCACAACATATATCTCTGTGATTTGTCAGATTAATCACTGACAGAGAGCTATAAAACTGTACAACCCACTTTCTCTTGAGAATTCAACCCGAGAAACACAACATTCATATATTCAAATACATGACAACCAAACACACACAGTTGCCTGGCCCGTTCATCAGCCCTGTGATGTGAACTTTTCATAGGCACTCACTACATCAATTTGCTTGAATAACTAGGTGTACATTATGAAAATGATGAGAGTTGAAGGGAAATCTTTGAAGAGGCAGAGGTGGGAAATGATGGTGTTATCAGATCTCAGTTCTCATATGAAAAATATGCAAAATGGGGGTTATATACTCAGAAGATAAATACTCTGCCACTTCTCATATGGCACAGACCCCAAGTCCAACCATTTTAAGGGCTCCCCCTGACCATTAGTTTAAGCTCAGATTTCTAGTATTGCAAAGCTTCCAAATACAGCTTTCTTCTCAGCATTATCTCCCATTGCTGTAATGAACAAGCCTTCTGTACTTCTGGTCAGCATATAGACCAAGAATCCCACTTCATCTTTGCAAGAACATTCTAGCATTCTAGCCTCACTCCAGCTACACCACAGCCAGCCCTTTGTCCTTGGCAAAGCTCTTTCTCCTAATATCACAAAGTTTTGGCTCCTTCTCTTGAATGTGTACTCCATTTAGCTCTGCCTTTATGGGGAGGTCATATTCCATCCCATGGGCTTGCCATCCCCAATGTGGCACTGCCCTAGACAGCATGGGGCAAGATCCAATAACTGACTTCATGGTAAAGCCGGTAGAAACAGATTGTGAATGACTTAGCCTGTGGGTGAGTAAGCTACATTCAGGTTAGAAAGACTACTTATGGAAACAAAATTTATGGATCCTATTCTAAGTGAAGGAGGCATCACTCAGGTCGCTGGATCTGATTTCTTCTTGCAATGATCACCCTGGATTAGTATACAATGGGCTATAGTGAAGGTGGTTGGTGGAGAAAGAGAAGGTGTGGAGAAAATCGTTATTAGGCACAGGGAAGGCCAGTGAGCAGTGGTCTGATTAGGATGAGGATGATGGAAATCTAAAATCTGAGTTTGTTTGTTGACATAATAATAGTCAGACAGAGCAAGGCATTACATATAGGGAAAGTGAGGCACATAGGAACATGGGTGAGGTAAAGAGAGTCATTATCCACACCATTGTGAAACAAGTCATTCTTGCTGTTTGCAAACTCAATTCTGTGGGCAGACTGCCTGCAGTCCCAGCAGAGCAAAGTCAGCCAACCATTTAACTGTATTCTTGGTTGCCCAAGATGGAAATAACAATGACTAGTTTCAAAGATTATGAGAGAAAAATTAAACTAATATTTACAAAGTATTGGACCACTGCCTAGCAGATTGTCTAATGTTGCCAACTATTATATGCTAAGTTTGTATATACATCTTTTCCTGCCCACATGAAGAATCAACTTCTCTAACACAGTAATAACCCTGTAGACATGCTCTGCATTGCTGAGTCTGGGCCTAGAAACAAAGTAAAAAACAGGCCCCTGCTCTCAAGTCTTTGGCTGGTGGATGTTAGAGAACTCACTGACATTCTAGAAAGGTCTCTGTGAGTAGTGCTAATGGAGACCAGCAGTAGGCTTGCACAGGCTCCTACAGACTCAAAGCAAGGAATTGGCCTGAGCAAAACTTGGCATAGAGGCGAGACTGATAGCAGGCTAGATTGGAAGAGTAATACACCAGGCTAAACTGGGAAAGGGTTCCAGCTAGCTGATAAAGGGGAAGAAAACCTCAAACTGGAAGCCTGAAGCTTAAAGAATGGATGAGTAGCCAGGAGACAAAAGAGGCTAGGGTGAAATGTAGGCTCAATGCTAATTAGAGGAGCAAGACCTGTTCCTATCATGGGAGAAGGAATAGGAAAATGAACAGAAACAATAGGTGGGCTAGCGAAAGGCATTCCCTGCCTTTCCAATGTGGGTACTTTCCCAGATGACTGCTTACAGTGCTAGGGCCCAGAGCTGTCTAGTTTGAGGGGTGTGTAGATTACAGGACTTGGGTTAAATGCTTTCACTCAGGGACCATATCCTCTCTCCTCCCCATGCAAAGGTCACAGTCACATAAGGGAAAGTCAAGACCATAACCCTCCCTGCTGGATCATGGAGATACCCTGAGCTGAGCTGTGAGGCCAGTCAAAGTTGGCTTTGCCACCTTAATCTGTCACTAACCACCAGGCTGAGTTAGAGTCCCAGTCTGGGTTTCAGGGCCTCCTGCATCCAGTTATTACACTTTCTCATGTTTAATGAATGCGTATTGTTTATAATTGAAAATATTTTTCCTACAATATATTCTGATCACAATTTCCTTTCCCGCAACTCTCCTTGGATCCCCATGTCCCCAACTACTCAACTCCACACTCTCTCTTTAGGAAATGAGCAGGAAAAAAATGAATGAGTGAATGAATTAATTGAAAGAATAGGAAACACAAAAGAAAACAAGTCCCCCCCCAAGCAGCCCCCCCCACAAAATCAGAAACTATAATATGCCTGCAAAAGACCAGTAAGATTAAAAAAAAATGCCCAAACCAAGCAGTGAGATACAAAATTATCTACAAAAATATCATTGAGTTCATTTTGTGTTGGCCATCTACTGCTAGGAATGAGACCTACAGCTATACGTGGTTAACATGCCCAGTGAGACTCCACTGGAGTAAATTAACTTTCCTCTGTGAATGGTTGTCAACTGGAGATAGCTTCTTGATTAAGGATGGGGGCTCGTATCTTTTTATTTCTTTTTAAACCCAGCGTCTCAATCCCAGGTCATTCTTCTGCTTTAAGATTTTTTTCTTCCAATCAGCATTTACAAATGCAAGGTAAATAGACACATGTTTCCCAATAACATTTTAAATTTGGTTTTCAAAGCATTTGCATGTGACATGGATGCTTCTCAATTCAAAGAACTATAAAGGAGACCATTTGCTTAACAGGACCTGGAGAGGCTGCTGGTCCACTTCAGATGCAAAAGGAACTTTCCAGTAGACACAGACAGCATCAGTGATGACAGACCAGCCTATCAATGCAGAGCCTGGTGCTGATTCCCAGAGCAGTGCCTTCCTAAGAGCTCATCTTTCTTTCAGTGTCTCCCTGAGCATTTCCATTCCCCTCCACTCCGTGAGATCATCCAAACTGACAGGATGACTTGTGGCAGAAGAAATGAAAGGGTTTGTAATTTAGGAAACCTCTGGCCCCACTGACTGAAAGCAGGCTGTTTGTAAAAAGGAAATCCTGACCTCGGCTAACTGGCAAACTCTGTCAGAAGCAATAGAGCAAAGCAGAGGAGAAAGAACAGTACTGGGATTTTTATTGGCAACAGAAGAAAAATGGATGCTCTGCCAAAGGAGGCGAGTTCCCCATCAGAGGACCAAGACATCCCCAGCCCCTGACTATGGCTACACAGCAGTGGGGATCTGCTCCAAGAGTTGCATCTGGGAGCTTACTGCTCAGGACAATAGCTAGGTCAGTTACCTTGAACATGAATTCCCTCCAGTTTGCCTAGGTCCGAGTCCTCGTGCTGCAGGCAAGGCATGGCCTACCTACTCTGTCTTTATCCCAGCTTGACTCAAAGTACCAAGACTCCAGCCACCAGAGCTGTGAATTAGATGCTGCATTAGTTATTTTTCTCACTGTTGAGACAAAACACCTGGCAAAGGCAACTTAAGGAAGGAGGGCTTTATTTGGGTTTACAGTCTGAGGGTACAGGCACTCATAGCAGGGAAGTCATGGCTGTAAGCATGTGAGTCATCTGGTCACATAGCATTCACAATCAGGGAGCAGAGAAACAGAAATACTAATGTTCAATTTGCTTTCTCAGTTTTCACTCAGTAGAGGGCCCAACCTGTGGAATCTTATGTCCTGCCTACAGTTAGGGTGGATCTTCCCACTTAAAATTATACCCTCACAGACATGCCCAGAGATGATTTGAGATGGGACTGCACTGTGCTGTCTTTTTAGGAGCCCTTCCTGTCACCTGGACCTCATCCTTGTCTCTATCTGAATGCTGTCTGCCCAGCCACTGGGT